ACTAAAATAGCTTGATGTAACAGTAAAAAATAATTGAATGCTTTATTTTTAATATTTTTTTACCTCATATCTTAGTCAGGCAATAAAAATGTGTGATGTTTAAGTTTCGTTAAAAGCGCAGCAGAAGAAACAACATTTGAACAAAAACATTTGTGCAAATATTTTTTCAGTATCTTTAGCCTGGCATACTTCAAGACAAAATTATACAAGTTTTTATGTTTCTTTAAAATTGTGAAATTGAAATTTATTGAGTGTTATTTTTGGGGAAACGTTTGGAATATTAATATTTCATAATGTTTTTAGTAGGCTTAAATTTCAATAATTTGTTTTCTCATCTATGTTTTGTACATAAACACGGAGAGTAGATAATGAAATGAATGACGGCAAATTAGTTTTATAAAATTCGTATTGGCGTTAGTTCAAATATTTTTCTGATGAGAAAACTGCCTCCAATGCACATATTTTTCAATGTTTTTAAATTTTTTCAAAGGAAATTAAAAATTGTTTATACTGTCTGCTTGATTTTGTTTTTATACCAGAATGTATTTTTTTAAGATTATTTAAACGGTTTTTTAGTTGAATTTAAAATTAAAAAATGCATACATTTAAGATGTAAGAATTATTAGTAATTCATAATTACCGTCACTGATTGTAAAACACTACATGTAAATATCTAAAAACTTGTGATTAATTACGATATCAAATATTTAATAATTCGTAGTTAGTTATATTAAAAATATTTAAAATAAGTAAACTATTTAAAATAAGTAAACTATTTAAATATTAAATATTCAAAAATAATAGTAATTCATAATATTTCAAACATTTTTGGAAACTTAAATATTTCATTACTTTGTTCTCTTCTGTTTGTTTATAATTATGCAAATACATCGGAAATGGCATGTTCTTATATTTTTATTATTTTTATCTTAGATTTTTGAAATATTACTAAAGTTATGGCTAAATTGCATTTTGAAGGCAATTTTTCTTTTAAAATTTATATGAATTTAGGTTTATTGCTTGATAAAAGCAAGAAAATTAAGCATTACATTTATTATTTTAAAATTGTTTTTCTATGATCAAATACGCTTACTTCTCGTGCAAAATTTCTCGTTAAAATTCTGTTAAATGATAATTACTTTCAAGTTCAATAACCAGTATTTAGAAATATGAAAGCTCAGAAATTTGCTAACAAAAAATAATAATAAACCCAAAGATGAAGGTTAAGTTCTTCATGATACAATTAATTTTATCCTTTAAAAAACATCATTAAGTAATCGAACAAACTTTGTTTTTGATGGACCTTAAGGCAAAATTTTCCTTCCAAACCAAAAACAACAAACATAAATATAAAAACTGTCGAAACAAATAAGACAATTTCAGCCTTCGGCATGATTTGAGATGTTCTTTTAAAATAGATTTTCACTTATTAGATAGAAATTATTTAAATAAATAAAGAGACAAATAACCACGGTGTAAAAAATAAGTTAAACTTAACTTTTCTACGTAAAAGTTATGAATTGCATCAACATAAATAATAATTCTATGCTATGTTAAAGCTGGGTCAACTTACGAAATAATTATTTTTCGTGAATAATATATTATTTTTATAACTGTTGGGAGTTAGTAACAGTTTTTCATGGCTGTTAAGTTATGTTTTGTCCATCTTTAGCCAAGCCAGAGTCATCAATTCTACTTTTATTTTATTTTATAACCAGCGTTGAGCAATCGACCCAATTCTGAGTTTATGACTATCAATGTTCAACTAAGGAGCTTTATAATCTTCACCCTAACCCAAAACACAACGGAACTCCTTCATCAAGTATTTGAAAATACTAGCTTTCGCAGAGGACTTTTTTGAAAGAACTAACCCGCATTTGCATTACTTAGAATGGAAAACTACGAACGACTTCAGCTGTTAGAACAACAAGGGGATTCCTACCCATGATCCGTCTACCACTGAGGATATTTTTCACCAACATTGTGATCGGTGCTCGCCGGGAGCGGAAATCGTTTCAACCAGTCATCGCTGGGATTCGAACCTGGGTCACCTAGGAAGGAGAACGCTCTATTCTCTGAGCCATCTCGGCTCCTTTAATTTTTGAATTGTGAAAAAAGTGCGAAATGTCTAAAAAAAATATCTGAGTTAGGTAAAAACGTAACGCATTTGTAATCTATTTTTGTGTGTTTTTTAAAATGCCGTTCAACTGTTAATTATTTGAGCTTTTTAAATTACTCAAAATGGAAAACTATTCATTGATCTTAATAATTCTCATCTAGTTGGAAAAAAGCTTGATTTTTTAAATTATTAAAATAGTGACTTGGTAAAACGGTTTATAATTTTTAAATACCTAAATATTTTTCCTCTTGTCAATTCTTCTGAATTGGATACCATTTTTAGTTCAAAATTAAAGCTTAGCATGCTTATTTTATTTTTCTCGACGAAAGTATTTCATCATTAACACCTTTATAAGAAGTTCTGCACGAGCTAAAAACACAAAAGCCATACATCTCAAATCTAATGAAGTTATTTTAGTTCAAATTATAAACATAAGCCACACATAATATGTAATTATTTACATCTAGTATTTTAAATCTATGCTATTCGAACATAAGTCTAGAAATCTATTCTCCCCCGATAGCATTTATTTGTAGATTTTTTTGAAAAATAAATAAGGCCACCAATAAACCTCAGAGTTAGAATCCGATTTATTTGTCTTTGAGTTGCTAGTGCAGCGGAAGTTTTGGCTGACGAGTACATTTTCCCACCCGCACTGTGTAAAAACTGACCTCATAGAAGCATATATATTTCACATTCTGGACAGCATTAAAAGGAAAGAGCCAAATAAATAAAGTGTAGGGGGTTAGCTAAAACAAAAACGGTGTGAGAAAGTAAACAACGTTAAGTATGGTGTGAGTTTTTTGCACAGAAGCAGGACTGGTGTTTTTTTGCTTTTCCATCCAAACGGAAAGTGGTGAGTCGGCATTCCATTTCACGAAAACGGAAACAGATCCAGAAATCCAATATGGATTTAAGCAATGAGAAACTCCGCGACGATCGATCATTTACTTTTCAAAGATAGTTTTTTCCCCTCTCTCTACACTTTTGTCGACAAGTTTTCATATGCAGGATTCTGACTAAAAACAATTGTTTCGAATAAAATCCTGTTGTTTTAGAAATATCTTTTTATCTCCGAGCTACGTTTTAGTCATTTGGTTGTTTTCCGGTATTTGTATTTGAGTTTGAAAGTGTTGTTAAAATGTTGGATGTAACACTAAGTAAGGAGAGATAAAATGTTAATTTGCTTTTGAAATAAAATACGACCAACTGATTAAAATTACTGGCTTATATAGATACTGAAAATTCATGAAATATTCTTAGTTATTGACTATACCATTTGTTGCAAAATGCTTCTACCATTTTGATTCCAATGATTCGCCTTCCAATGAGGTTAACAGGGTTCGAATCCCAGCGATGGCTGGTTGATGCGAATTCCGCATCCAGCTTGCACTAACCACAGTGCTGACATAAACAGCTTGTAACAGTAACCGGCTTACTCAGTGCTGATGTATCCTCGGTGGTAGATGGATCATGGGTTAATCGTGGAAGGGTTTCGTTTTTTCCCTTTCTATGTAACTCGAATTCGGGTTAGTTCCATCAAAAAGTCCTCCACAAAGGCAAATTTCTTCCAATACTTGATCCAGGAGTTTCCTTGTCTTCTGGATTGGGTTTAAAATTACAAGGCTACGACGGGGAACATTAGTAGTCGTAAACCCGAAAAATTGGGTCGGCTGTTCAACGACGGTTATAAAATAAAAAAAATGAAATTGCTGTATTCACTTAATTGAGGATTCGAATTTCATCTAAAGCAATAGACTTAATAAAAAAAAATCAATTAACGTGATTGATTTGGAATTACCACTTGAAATAGAAAGGACATGGGTTAATGATTAGCACTATGTCATTTCCAGGTTTCGAACTCGGGAAATCTGCTTGAAAAGCGAGTGCACTAATTTCCACATTAATCAACATTATGATTATTAAAGGTTATCCTTACCATATTTTGGTTATAAAAGGTTTTAAGTTTTGATGAAAAAATGCAGGATATTTTCTGAAATGTGATGAGATGATACACAATTGAAGAAGCAATTTCGTAAAATATTAATTAACAAATATTTTACGAATAATATTCGCTAGAATTAAAAATTATTCGTAAAAATTCGTGTCCCGTTGGAAATCGTGCAATTTTTTTTCAAAAAGTTGACTAATAAAACGAAATTCTGTTCAAAAATAACAGAAACGTCAAAACGAGAGCTCTGTATCTGAGGGTAAAACTTGAGAAGAGATAAAAATCTAATTTGTTTTCACTATTAAATGCTTTCGACCAATAAAAATTACACAACACGCTTAATTTCTTAGAAACGTCAGAGTTGTTTGTCAACTCTGTATTTTAGTAATTAAAAATTAATTAATACAGAATTGAGTTTTGGATACACAGAGAAATAAGTACGGTAATAACTACCAGAATATGGTAAAATTCAACGAGTTTTTTCATCTATGGGAACACCAGAAAGTGCGGTTATTTTTACTGAAGCGTTTCGGTAATGATTCTAGTAAAATTAACAATAAAACATGGTTTTATAATTTTTGATAAGAATTTGGTAAATGGAGATAAATTTGGAAATTTTATCCTGAAACCTTAGAGCATGGCATAAAAGCCATATATTCGGCTAAATTTACATCTCAGTTATGCATTTTTTACTTAATGTTTGGTAGTAAGAGTCTATAATTTTGAAAACTATAATTACCAGTAAACGTTTGCTATATGAACTGAAAAATTACCAAATGAACATTTAAGTTTAGGTTTTATTAACCAAAAATCTGCTTTTTTTCTTTTCTTTTTTTTAAAAAAATTAGAATTATCAGTATCATAGACTACGGTAATTTTTCCATAATTTTTCTGTCAGAGTAGAATTGAACATAATTGTATTTTCCATACCATAGACTCGAACCTCTTTTTCTTCTCTGACTGTTTGGAAGGATGGTGCTTCGGCTGACACTTCGCATCTGTACACTCCTTCCGTATTGAGGTCTGTACGCTGCAGATACACGTGACCCAATGCAGACTGAGCTAGCTGTAAGCAGAGACATGACTTTAATCGAAATTTAAAGGATGAAACAAATAAAATGTATACTAAATTTATGTCATGATTATTAGTGGACCCATAAAGAGTTGTATCTGAATGAAACGAAATTTTGCATACGTAAATACAATTTTGATATAAGAAAGTGTTTACAAGATCAAAACAAATTGATCTTTTATTGCTGAAAAAAATATAAGTGTATGGAGTTTTAAATACCCCGTTCGGCCACCTCTAACGACCACATGACGACAACCTGGTTCCAATCTCGCCCAAATGGACAACAGTGGGTGGGTGTCAATCCTGCCTACCGCAGCATCCTGCTTCAACAGCTTGTGTGGTGGAATGTGGTGACATCGTATACAATACATGATCATCCCTAATACAGATGCATGACCCCATGACAGTCCAGTGGTATGCTTGTGACAGTCTTCAGTCACATGTGTTGCCAGTTATGGCAGTGCTCCAGAGCAACCATTTTTTAACAAGCAATGCTCAGAGCCATCGTGGCTCAGGGGATAGAGCACTCACCTGCCAATGAGGTGATTGTGTTTGAATAACAGCTTGGTCAATACGAGTCCACATCGATGGTTGGTCGATACGAATTCCACACCGACCACAGTGCTGACGTGAAAACATCCCCAGTAGTAGACGGACTATTGGTTAAAATCCCCTTTGCACTAAGATAACCGTTGGATGTTTTCGTAGTTTTCCACTCCATGCAACGCAAATGTGAATTAGTTCTACCGAAAAGTTCTCCACGAAGGCAAATTTCTCTAACTTGATTTATGAGTTCCCTTGTCTTCTGGATTGGGTTCAAAAATACAAGGATACGGAGTTGAACACTGGTAGTCGTAAACTCAAAATTGGGTAGCCAGTTCAATGACCGTTCTAAAATAAAATGAACCAAATAAGGCGCTGTTATTAGACTGATGTTTTTAAGGAAAAGGGGCATTTTTCAGAAAAGTCTAGTCCGGTATTTCTTGCATTGATGTTTTTACAAGGCAAAATGCTGTTGTTAGGTGTTTCTTGACACAAGTTTTATTTTAATAATTATAAAAAAAGTGATAAATAAATAAATTTTAATTCAAAAAGTGATACATTTAGGAGAAAAATTCTCTCATAAAAAATCTTAACTTTCTATAAAAGCCACATATAAATTTCATTATATAACTTTAAAAATAAATAATTATAATTCTTAGCAAATTTTAATTCAATATTTCTCATTTTATAAAATTGTGCAAAAATTTCATTTATTTTCTAATACTCGCCAATAATTCAAAACTTAAATTCACTAATTATTCTGAGCCAAACTAATTTTATCCCACTATTACCTATGATATTTGTCTACTTCAATTAATTTTATTTAATTCAAGAAAACATACTATATAAATTTAAAATAACACATTAGCTTTATGATTATATTATTATTGATTAACTCATATATTAAATTGGCTTCGAGAATAATTTAATTGAAATCATTTGCTTGAGAGATTCATTTTTAGGTTTTTATTTTATGGCGTAGTGAAAATATTCCAGATAGAGGAAATAATTAATTTCCCCATAATGTATTACTTATTGCAACATTTCCTTCTGTTTAGCTAACGAGTGATTAAAAATATATCAACAAACTATATCCTTTTCCTTCTAGAATTGGTGTTGCTGACTAATTATAAGATAATTAATTTCCTGCAGCGCTGTAAATAGTAGAAGTATTGGATAAGTAAATTATAAAAGTTGAATGTGGTAATCCTAAGCTTTCAACTCTTTATGAAAATAAAAGTATTAGAATATTCAGTCCATAAAAAAACCTAATTGAATCATAAAATTTATTTTTTTATAGCAGTTAATTTCTATTTGAATTTTACGAATGGTGAATGGTATTTTTTCTAGTGCTGTAAATATAATATGACATTATAAAAAGACTCAGAAATTTTTTTTCAATTTTTGTTACATAAAGATATTTAAGTAAAAAGATTGTTTTAAAATTAGCTTGGTCCATATACGGTTTCAATGTATTTATATGAACTAAATAAGATTGTAATTTTCAATTATATAATTATCATTTACGTCATTTAATTAATAAAACAGTATTTTTATAAATTAAACCTATATTTAAGTACAGTATGCAAAAATTAGTAAATGAACATAAAAGTTATGAGTATATTTTATTACCAGTTTTATTATAAAATTCTTTTAAATGCAAACACAAAAGCTTAAACTTATTTAGGATAATCACAGGAAACTTCGTTTCTGAAATTCAATTATAACTAATCAATATTTTTAGTTGAAAATCTCATTATACAGGGTGATTCTAAAGAGATGAGCAAAATTTTAGGAAGTGATAGTACACATCCAAGAAAAAATTTTTTATCAAAGAATGCATGGTCGAAAACAAAACGCAAAGGTGCTGGCGCATTTGGAAAGTTGTTTGATGCAAACGTGAAAGCTCCATTCCTGTTGCGAGTTACATGTTATGGGACGAAGAAGTGCTCGTATGCAGATTTTTCGTCACGATTCATACATAAAAGCTGCTGATTCGAGTGCTATTATGTCAAAAAATATTGAAGAAAAAATTGGCTTTTTGTGGAGACAGCTGAAGGCTCCTATGTATGAGACTCCCATTGAATCTGCAGAAGAACTTGTCGCCAAGCTTTCGGCCGCTGCAGGGATAGTTCGTGATATGCCTGGTGTGTTCGCCTATCTTTTCTTCGCCGTTGTAATGCGTGCATAGTCGCTGCCGGTCACTGTTTTGAACACTTATTGTAATCACATACCATTAAATTTGCTTTTATAACTTAACTTCATCGTTCTTTGTGTGTTTTTGCCTCATATAAAAACATAAACTTTGGCGCTCTCTAGCGGTTTTGCGTTTTGTTTTCGACTATGCATTCTTCGATAAAAATTGTTTGCTTGGGTGTGTACTATCACTTCCTAAAATTTTGGCTATTTTTTTAGAATCACCCAGTATGTAAAATAGATAAGTATCGGAAGTTTTTTTTCCCAACAATCACAATTTATAGAAATTTATTACATGGGATAAGACTCACGGAACCAGAACAAGGCAACTCAGCGTGAATAGAGCACGAATAAAGATACAGAGATGGACAAATTTGTTCTTTATTCACGTTGAATAAAGCACAAATTTGTTCATCTCTGTCCAAAGCACAAATTTGTCCATCACTGTCCAAAGCACAAATTTGTCCATCTCTGTCCATTTGTCAACAGAATAAGCACAAATTTGTCCAATTCTGTATCTTTATCTGTGCTTTATTCACGTTGTTTTGCTTTATTCATACGTGACACAACAAAGTACACACTATCCCCATTTGCACTAAAACTGTTCAGAAAAACTACAAAAGATATTTTTGATCTCAGTTTCAGCATGCCGGTGTAAAAATAACTCTTAAAAAATTTCCTTTTTTTACCCAATAGATTTTGAATGGTTTCGCTCTACTGGAGCGTCTAAAAGTTGTTCGGCATTATTTGCATTAAGATCTTTGAGAAAGGAAAGAAGAATAACAAAATAAAGCAAAATCAGCCATTTGTAATGCCTCTCAAATTATTTGGAAGTTCGCAAAACAATTCTTAAATAGAAATATCTTTGAATTCTGACCATAAGGAACCATTTTTGATAAGAAATCATGAATTCTTTTTATTTTACACATTGAAACTTTTTAGTGCAAAAAAACCGAGTAAACTAGGGAAATTTAGTTATCTTATTATTAATATTTAGACTATGAGTTCTATTATAATTTAATTAATTAATTATATTATTAATGAACTAATTAGTCCTATTGATTTTTAGATTATTAATCCTTTTATTATTTAATTAATTACTCCGATTTGTTTTTGCAGTATCAATACTATTATTTAATGATTAAGACCTATCAGTTTTAAGATTGTGGATCACATTGTTATTTAACTGGTCATTAATATTGATATTTAGATAATCAATCCTTTTATTATTTAATAAACCTATCTTATTACTTTTTAGATTATATTGCTGGTTTTAATTGACTTCATAAATCATATTATTAATTTTGATTATCAATTCTATTATTACTTAGTTTATCAATCCTATTGTTACTTATAAATTCTATTATTATTATATATCCTATTATTATTTAGATTATCATTCCTATCACAGATAACTCAATCCTAGGTGATAGATAACTCTTTTTATTATTTATGAAGTTCTTATTTTACAGATAATAGGAGGCTTTTTTTTACCAACATTGCGAATGCTTCACCAACAATTTCGTTTCCTGATAATAAGCGAATTGTTACATCAAAATTAGAAGATTTTCACAAATATTACACTAAATTGTATTAATTTCTAATAAATTGTTACAATTACGAAATTAAATTAGTATGTTATGTTAAATTAGTAATGAAATGAAATTAAATTAAATTATGAAATATAAATTAGAAGATTCTGAAATGTTTCATTGCCTCAAAGCAAAGGACCCATCACAAATCTTACGAAAATTAATTCTCTGCCAAATTTGCTGAAAACTTAATAGGCTGTAGCTCAAAAAATTGATAGTTTCCGATAAAAATTGTTAGTCTCCAACATACGAATTGTCAAACATAAGTAATGATTTTCAGTTCTCTAATACCATCATGTCAGTAGCATTTACCATTGTGCACCACGTGAAAGTTTTCAGATCGGTTTTTGCACATGTTATAGTCCTTAAAAGAGCTGATGGTTTAAACAAAAAAAAAATACTTGGATGTTTACAATTATGTATACTTACGAATAACCATAAATATTCCTTTATTTGAATATTATGTACATTTTGTTGAAGAGATCGTTTCGCAGCATCATAGATACATTCTATCAACTTTGTAGATGGATGCTTGAAGTTATCGCTATACAGTGCATATCTTAAAAACTATATAACACTCACAATGTGTCCGCAAATACCCAATGTTCAATATTGCTCACAAGTGCTCTTCAACCATCTCTCAACACAATGATATCTCTTATG